AAAGCATTTGACTTTGTTTTCTGCTTTTAACTTTACTGTAAAAACTTATGTGTAATAATTAGGAAAATTTACACATTAGCAAAACTTAGCTATGTAAAGTTTCAATTTATATTAGTGGAGATTACAAAGAATGGCAGCTGCCATATATATATATATATATATATATATATATATATATATATATATATATATATATATATATATATATATATATATATATATATATATATATATATATATATATATATATATATATATATATATATATGAATGTATGTATGTATTTAAAAGCAATGTATACTGTACATGCATATATTTTATATTGTAAATAAGAAAAGAATTGGTTTATGAAGGATGAATTATAATATATAGTGAGAATATTAAGGTTATTATGTCTAAGAAATATCCTTTTATTAACATTATCTACAACTCCAAAGTTCTATGGCACAGTAAAACTTTGAGTAATTGAACTTTTTCATATAGTGGCTTCATTGCAACTTTGTAGGTAGCCAAACTATCATATTCATTAAAACAAATATATACTCAAGAGTTACTGCTTGTAGTCCTCATTGAATTTGATTACTCTTATGATAGTAGAGCGAGTAACGATTGTGGGTCGGAGGAAAAACGCTATTCCATGATAGTATTGTACTTGGGTTCATTATTCAAATGACCACAAAATGGAATACCTTGTGGGTGACCCTGTTATGTTAATTTAGCGTTCCTGTACCACCCATATGTATACTGATGATAATAGTGTTTTGTGTTCACAAAGGGATTGGGGAACAGATTTCCTCACCCACTTCTGTTACTGGATATCTCTACCTGTAAACTTTTAAAGCCCTAAATATTTTGTAACTGCTAAAAGCATTTGGCCAAGAATTGTTCATATTAGTTTTTTTCTCTTGTTGACAACCTCATCTTACTGATTTTTTTTATTTTATACAGTACGTATTTGAAAAAGAATAGTCATTCATCAGTAAGGTAGGTGTCTGGTGTGTAATAAATCGTGTTGTCTGTCAAAATAAACTTACTGAGAAAATGCATGTCAGACGACTATGCACGTACTGTAAAGTATGGAGGGTGATCAATTTTATTTCCAGATTTGGTATGGAAATTGTTTTATCTAAATAATGTTCAAGAAGTTTGAACACACTCTTTGGGATTACAGGTATCCCTTGTTATCCAACAATTCTATTCTTACACCTTTTTCCACCATCCAAAAGCTATTCTTGCTTATCCAAAATATTGTCCAATCAAAAATTCAAATTGCGCAGCCTGTGTCCCCCCACCCACTCACACAATGTAATGTACCAACTGTACAGTATATACATATTTTATTTAGTTATTACAGTATTTATTTATTTATTTTTTGTTCAGGAGCTAAATTAATATTTTTGGTACAGTACAGTACAATGTTGTGATTTTTTTTTGGGGGGAGGATTGTCATCACCTTCCCTTAGACACTGTGTATGGTGCCCATTCCCTTAGTGTTCTCTCTTTATCTGGGTATATTTGAGCTATATTTTTGTGTGTGTGTGTGGGGAGAATCTGTTCACAATGGCATCTAAGTGTTGTGCTGAATCCTTGGCTGCACCCACCATCACCAAGAGACTGTGTAAGCCTGTGATAATTGAAAATATAAACTTGAAATAATGGTGCCATATTTAAATTTTGGGGGGTATATATACTGAGAGATATGTGTTCTTAAAAAAGTACTGTTAGGTAAATTATCATTCAATGGAACCATTTTCCCTCAGGATATATATATATATATATATATATATATATATATATATATATATATATATATATATATATATATATATATATATTTCGTGATACGTGAACCAAATTACAGAACCTTTTGGGTGGGTTTAATATTGTATTTTTGGTTGGTGGGAAGGCTCTAGTCAATTTCATTATTTTTAGATATAATATTGGGGTTTTATTGTACATTAGTTCAGTACTAAATTACAGTTTAGTTAGGGTCATTTTTGGGGGGTATTATATAATATTGGGGTACCGAACCCTATTTTTCACATTTGTTCTGTTATTTGCTATCCAAATATTTGAGACCCAAAAGGTTGTCAGGGAAACTAACACTTTTGGATAACGAGGGATACTGTACCTGTATTTCCTGTATACATTAAGGCCCTGTTTAATGAGTAACATGTGTTCTTGAAAAAGTACTGTTAGGTAAATTCTCATTCAATGGAACCATTTTCCCTCAGGATCTCTTGTTAACAGTGGAGATGTATTCCAGGCCAAAAAATACTCAACCCAAAATCCCATGGTATTAATTTAATGCTCTCCCTCCGAAAGATTCGCAGCCCAAAACCCTAACAAGATTATACAGTACTGTATATTGTTTTAGTATACAGTACTGTACTTACCAGAGCTGAAGGTAGTGTGCTATTTGTGTTGGCCTAGCATGATTGGTTGAACACAATGATAGACAAACACCATTATGTTGTCTAGACTCACTGGATAGGCAGGC